TCAGGCCAGAGAAGCTGACACAGTGAAGCGAGACATTTCAGCTCGCACTGAGCTAAAAAGGACTACAAATACAGATTTATTCTCCTAATGTTAAAAATGTTGCCTGTAACTTATGGCAAACTAGAATAACTTTATAAAGTTATTGCTCATACTGGAACAGTTTTGGAGAGCTTCACCAGAGACCCAGGCACCGCTGCGCTTGGTTTTGGACAAACAAAATTAAGAAGCATATGTTATCTTCTGCCTTGTCATGACTTTCCATAATCATACAATTTAAAACCATCAAGTTGAATGTATTAAGTATCTGGCAGAAGGAATGAAGACTAGGGGGAGAAAAATCTGGAATGGAAATACTGAAGCAAAAAAAATGTATTGAAGGCACTCACATAAAAAATTAGAAGCTGCATTTGTATGTGCCCTAAGTTATCTGTGAAATGACTTGGAGACGGAACAATTTAGGATATTGTAGAACAGTGTTTAGTAAAATGTTATCTTGACTTCTGGAAGGCTGTTATTCACAAGAAGGCAATAGCCTATTCTTTCGGCCAATTCTGTGAAACTGTTGGTTTTAGCCTTAAAGTCAACTCAGACCCACAAGCCAGCAAAGTCACTTCTCTCAACTTGCAAAATGTATTTTTATTCCATCATTTTGAAAGCTCTTCAATGAAAGTCTGAAGAGCCCAACAAAAAACCCAAACTACCTTTGCATTCACAACAGTCACTGAAAACAGAGCCGACACTTAAGAAATGTTTTGCCAGAAACCGGTTTGCTGGTATCAAGAATAATAATAAAAAAGCCCCCAAACCCAGAACAAAAAAAAACCAAACAAACACCACAGCTTTATTTAACTGATCTTCATATCAACTATTTCAATTCATCTCAGAAAGCAAGTGATGAAATAGTTCTTCCTTACCTACCACTTACGAACTCTTTTCTTCTCACTTACTCGTATTACATTAGTTAAGCAGTGCACTTGCATTTGTTTTAAAAGCCTGTCTTCGAGCAACAGAATGGAACTACTCTTCACTACCCCGACCAAAAAGAAATAACCTATTTCTCCTTCAGCTGCCACAGACTGCAATGTAGAAGTATTGTACGAATATTTTACCAAGAGCTCCTGTTTAAGCAGTGAAGCATTGGAGGCCATCAGCAAAATTCCTACTCTGCAACTATGCTCCTATGGTTCAAAACCAAAGTGGGCAGTGTGATCTAATTAAGTTGGAACGAAAATGAAAAATCTCTAAAAAGTGTAACCCTTGAGGACTACTGTGAACATCCTTCCAAGGGAAGAGATCTTTAAGCTGTATCATTTTCTGATATAATGATAAAACGATGTGTGCATTTGTGATTAGGGAAATGAAATCAGTTCAACTGAGTCACTGTTGATAAAGCATTGGAAATCTGTGGCATTTTCAGGCCTGTTTTTGTTTCAAATTTGTGGAAGGCGTGATAAAAACAAAAACCAAAACAAACAAAACCCCCCACAAACAACCAAAAAGAAACCAAAGGCCTAAATGTGTTCATGTGAACTGTGAAACAGTTCAGCTGAGGAGGACATCTTTCAGATCCAAGAGATCACTGGGGTAAAGGGAATGTGTATCTATCACCTTATAAAAGATTGTTTTAAGGCTTCCAAAGGTTGCTGAAGAAGTAGGAAGAAGAAACGCCAGTGGGAGAAGGACAGAGGCTGTGCATGCCTGTCTGACATTTTCTTCCAGTTTTATTCAACTGCTGTAGCTACTGTGGACAAGAAGGTGTGTGTACATAACAGCAGTTGATAACCAGACCTCAAGACTGAAGTCTGAGGGGTATTGCTTGCTTTTTAGGAGTCCAGTTTGTGGTATGACTGCCATCTTACAACATCACCTTGAAATTGGCTTATATTTTTGTATGTGTTGTTTTGGGGGGTTTTGGTGGGGTATATGGTTTGGGGGTTTTTTAGGAGGTTGTTCTTGTGGGGGGTTTTTTTGTTGTTGTTGGGGTTTTTTGGGGTTTTGGTGTGGGTTTTTTGGTTGTGGGTTTTTTTGGTGGTGTTTGGTTTTGTTTTTTTTTTTTTAACACACATTCAAGTATAACAATAATTCACAGCAGAAATACAGACTTTGGTGGCTTAAAAGTGTTTAAAAATACATTTTTTTTTTCCTACAAACACACAGTCAACTCTAATGCAAAGGTGGGTATAAACAAGACAGCACGAATCCTCAAGTCACTATGCAAACTAAGTATGTAACTTCTGTCCTACATTTATTTAATCTAAAATTTCATTTGGTAGTTTTTAATGCAATTCTGTCTATTACCATGAAGTGGGGTAGATCACAGTAACACCAGATCAAGCATTCATTCTCATTTTTCTCCAACTAATATCTGTGCGTCTTTACACTAAGGTTTGCAGAAATATGAGCCACAGTGCTCTCAAGTAACCATCTTAGGGTGCTTGTTGTTTGCTTACATTAAAGAATGTAGAGAATGAGAGGCAGAAAATAAGCAAAGGTGGATTTCTTTTTTGCCGATAATACAGAAAAGAGTAATAAGAGATTCTTTTCTTTATACACCATCCTTCAGAAAAGAAAATTGTCTTCATGTACCAAAAAAACCCCATTTATTAGTGGATTAAAATTCAACGTAAGTGTTAGGCTGAAATGAAAACATCTTTAAAAATCCCAAGTACTTTAAAAATACAGAACTCAATTACAATTAAAAAAAAAACTATTATGCAAATTTTGGAAAATCTTCTTTTCAGAAAATTTTTTTTCTTTCTATTTTCTGTCTTTCAAGATTCCTAAACTACTTTCATTCCATTAAAGAATTCAGGGCCTTTGCTTTTCTGTTTGAAAAAACCTAAGTGAAAGCTATGTTCTTGTGAGTTTTCTACTTCTCCAAATGCTAAAGGAAATCCTAGTGGAGGAGGAGAAAGTCATTCAGCACTACAGTTAACTATAGGTATCCCAGGGCTGAGAAATAAAATGTGTGTTTAGGTGATTTATTACTGTTTCTGGCCAATCCAGATCAAGATCCAAGAATGCTGAGTGCCACTTCCTGTCATGGATCAAAGATAATGACTCAAACAAGGCAGATTTTAGCTTCACAGTGATGCCTATGCACAAAAAAAAAAACAAACCATCAAGAGATTTAGTGAAAGCTACGCATCTTGAGACTAAACTCACTTTCCATATCAAAAGTGCAAACATTGTTCTTTCTAGATCAGAAATTAGGTCTTCTTCAGAAATAAAGTACTGATTACTCTCTTTGGAATTAAGTGTCAAACATCCTTATACGACCTTGTTTAAACAGGACAGCAAATAAACGGGAATTCTTTAGATATGAACCTTCTTTTGTCATGACTTCACAGTCATTCCAATTTCTATTTACAAGTAAAAAAAGAGAAACTGGGACTAAGAAAGGAAGTATTGATCCATACGCCATGTTACAATAACTATCCCTCATTGCACCAGCTTTTTTTTTTCCCTTTCCTATGTTGGAATGAAATGAAATTTTATCACGTTCCCATACCAGTATATTGAAGATAATTTTATTTCAACATTTAGCCATGCCAGCTTTAATTTATGCTGTTGGAGGATGAGAAGACATTCAATAAACTGCCCACTGAATAACACGTTATAATTTGTTGTCAGTACAAAATGGGGAATTGGTGACTTAATTACATAGAACATGGGAGAGGCAGCTGAAGGATCTCAGAATTCCCATTCATTCATGCCTAGTAACTGGGCAACAGTATTAGCAACGATGATGATTCTCTGAGAAGGTCTCACGTGAAATCAGTCAGAAAGAAGGTAATGCAGGGGAAAGATTAGGAAAGCTGACAAACTGAACTGGCTGAGGTATAAGCTACCAGCACCTGGAGTCAATTAATAAGATGCTAGTACCACTATCCTGTCAGTGGAAGCAGAACTTTGAAGTAAAATAACAGGTAGTAACTGAACCAGTGCATTGTCAGAGCAGAGAAGGAGCATGTGTTTGCAGGACTGTTTCAGTAGTATTGTCAATAATTAATCACAAGCAATAATACAAGAGATGCAATTGCTAGAGATTTTCCCTGTGAAATTCCATCCATTAGAATTCAGCAAGAATAAAAAATACAACCTCAGATTCATTTTTTTGTTTAAAGAAATAAAAGAACCACATTGCTACAAAGCTTTAAAAGGATGGAACAAACCCACCAGAAATGCAATGTAATTTGACTAATGTTTTCACTGATTCACAACATACTTATACACTCCTAAAGAAATCTATAAATGCATGTATCTCTGAAATACGGTTATATTAATGCTGTCCTACAATTTGGCGTAATAGTTTGAGGTTTATAATAGTTTAGATGTTGAGTTACTTCCACTTCTTCGAAGCAGAATGGTTTTTTGTTTTTGTTTTGGGTTTTTTTTTTTTTTGAAAACTTGGGAAATTCAGTGCTGCCATTTTCCTATTCTATAGGCTGTGGAATGCTTGTACTTAAAGTAGAAGCAATGTTTTCCACAGAAGACACGTAAGGCAATTAAGGAAAGTGAGCTGACTTGCCCTCTGAAAGAGCTTATTCTCCTCTCAACTGACCACACACAGTTGCAGGATGTAAACTGTCTAGTGTAACTGCAGCCCTGAATTAAACTTCTCAGTTCATGACATATCTAGACCACAGACACTGTGTGCATAGTAAGCCTATGCAGGCACACAGGGACATGAGACAACGGATGGGACAGATAGACCGTCCCATTGCCATCTTGCCTTCTCACAAAACCAGTCACATTAGGAAGTTTTTAAGATTTCCTTCCTCCTGTCCACTCAGAAAGGAAGAACTGATTTCAAAGACAAAAGCGCTCTGAACCTCTCACACGACACTGGTCACAGAAATTAGGCTAATAAACAAAGCATACAGGTATTAGACACACCAATCCAGAAGTCAGTGTATAAATTTCATTTCTTTACAGACATACATACTTACGAGGGTAAAGCACAACAAAGTGCAGATACCAAAGCAGAGACTACTCACCTTCAATGTACAGGGGCTCAACGACATCGTGATTTATCAGTTCGAAGTTCTCATGACCAATCCAGTGCTCCACATTTCTTTTCCTGCCCGTAAAGAAGTTGTCCACAACTGTAACCTCATGGCCATCCATCATTAGTTTGTCAGTAAGATGAGAACCCACAAACCCTGCTCCTCCAGTTATCTGCGTTAGGACAGTTGGTATAAATTTCTTTTTCTTTTTACAGAAACACCAGACAAAGTCTACAAACATGAAGACAGAAGAACAGTAGCTTTCAGGTCTTTGCTTACCCCAGGGGAAACAACTCCATTTCCATGCTTAAATTTTTTTATCCAATATTTACAGCATTTAAAATTTCAAAAGAGATGCTTGACACGTTTCATCACTGTCCGGCTAGAAATTCAGCTAACCATTCACATCAACATCTCTTTTTCAGATTTGATTTTTTTCCTTTTTTCCTTCAAATTGGATTGTGCCCTTTTATGCAACAGCAAAGCCTAAAAATACCCAAAAAGGTAAGAGAAGAATTCTCTGTGATTCTCATTTCTCAGAAAAGAGACCACAGAATACCAGGTTGTTTTTGTGGAAGATTTATGATATCAGAAATGTCAAATCCAGCTTTTGTCTGGTTTAAATGGAAGACATGTTAGGTGTTCTAAGTAAGTACTACAAATTCTTTCACCCTTCATAGAAGGAAGGAAGGAAGCGTACTCTTAGACAAAAAGCAAGTCTTTGAAGATCTCTCATTTGAAATATCTGCTAAAACCAAAATTATTCCTTTTGTGTTTTAATGCATCCATAGCCCACACCCTATCATTTTGTTTTCAGCCTCTCATACCAATAGCTCCGACATCCAGCATTTATCTGTCTTGGAATTTTATGATGTTTTACTGCCAAGAAATAGGCAGAATTAAAATATTTAAAAACTTGCACTCTTGTTCCATTGCAGATGTAGAAGCATGGAAGTTCTTTATTTTTACCCTTTCTGCACCTCAATCTTTAACAGTAAACAAACAAACAAAAAAATCACTAACTCAGTATTGAATCAGACAACACAATAAGTAGTAGAACTGCAAGTTGTGTGACACATCCAGACAGACATATCTACGGAAGCAATTATTTTCTCTGCACTTCATAAGCTGTTTTCAAGAACAAAGACATGACAGATCACCACTCTCAAAGAATAAAGGGACGTTTAAAAGCCTCGCGTGGCATCAGCTATATTATATGACTGCATGATCAAATTCACATTTTGAAAGTGATTCAGCTGTTGATCTCCATTCTTCAGCTGCAGTGACAAGTAACCAAACCACAAAAGGATATGGTGAAACTGTCAAGCAGGAATCTAATGAATGGATGATGTGCTACAATGACAAAGTGATGCGTGGAGAAGGCTGTAGATGACTGAAGTTCTTTCCCTTTGGGCTAGTCAAAGCCTAAACATTTATCCTGCCAGCTCCCCTCCCCATCCACTATTGAAAAAAGCCAGATTAGCAGAAATTCTTTTTTTTTTTTTTTTTTTAAAAAAAACAAAACAGGAAAGAGACAAAGCCAAATAGAAAGCTATCAAAAACTGAAAAGGAAAAAAACATAACTACATCTGTTCTCTTCTGTAAAAACTTGAATGTCCACTTCTTGCATTCTCACACTTGTTTTTCTTCTTAAAAATTCAGGGCCATCAGTGTGTCAAAGACATTGTAAGTACCAGTTAATAAAAAAATCATTTAGTTGGTCTAAGGAGAAAGAGGATTTAGGAGAAGCCCTCTTTAAAAAAAAGGAAATATTCTCAGGGCTCCCGCTATCCTGGAACAGACAGGAGGGAAGAACAGGTTTCTGGCAGAATGCTGTGAACAAGGAAAGAAGAAGGGTAGTAACTGAGGGAGAACAGCCCTCTGCCAGCTGCCACCACTTACCAAGGGTAAAACAATATGCATGGAAAACCTACTGCCATAAGCTTATCCTGACTTGGAAGCAAGCTGCAGCCTTGCTGAATGTTCCAAGGGTTTTGCCTTTTTGTGGCGACCACGACAAAAGTTTTCTGTAGACGACCTGAACCTATTCATTCAACTGAGGCCCAAGGAAATCCCTTGCTGCTATTTCTATTTCCAGGATTCCAGAGAAGACAAACTCGATGCTCGCAATATGTCTTTGGTGGAGTAAAAGAAGTTGTCTTCCTCCCCATCTCCCTTTTGGAAAAAAACATAAACCAAACCAAGCATTGCTTACAGCACTCTTCTATGCTATATGTAACCAAAAAAAGAAAAAGAAAAAAGCACAAACCAATTTTGTCTGGAAAGAAGTTTCCGATTACTTTAAATATGTAAGCAGTTTTTATGATAAATTTATGTTAGCTTTATTAACATATCACTTCAATAGGTATTAGATAAAGAACTACTTGGAAAAGGAGCTGAATTTCCCCTGGAAAAGTAAACAACTGTATAAATTAGTTTTTTTATCATTACTTGAGGCTACATTAAAAAAAGAAAAGATGATTTATCACTGAAGCTCTCTGCATAACCCTCCTGTAATCACTCATAAAAGCAAGGTCAATATACATCATTTCTAAATATGACTTCCTGCAAATCACAGTGACATATTAATCTACAAAATCATATACTGTATGTGAATAATTTCCATATCAGAATTGAAGTACCAGCACCTGGAGCTTCAATAGGCATTCTTTAATAAGACATCATTAATAAAAATATTTAATTACTTAGTAGTGCCAATATGCTTGGTAACTTCAGTATCTACGAAAAGGCACAAATATTACTGATAATTTCCTCCACTAGAGGCAGTTAAAAAATTGTGTATTTGCTAGACCGGTTCATTTCTGCTGTCTGCAGTCAGATTCAAAACATCTAATGTCCCATATGGAATTTTTTTGTTTGTTTTGTTTTATGCTTCAATTGGCCTACCACATTCAATTCAGAAGAAACGCCAACAACAGACTGAACCAATGTCAACACTATCATCCACAGTATTAACAGAATTCCTTCACTCGCATACGAAAGCCTGTGGCCTAGTCACTTCAGAGAACTGAGCAAGTAGATAAATCATGCACAATAGGACAAAGACTTGAGCTCTTTGGAATGGAAGTGCCAGAGTATCTAGTCTCAGCTGAAATACCACCCCTCCTACTAGCAATCATCTTCAAATAGATTCAGTATAATAAAAAATAACTGCTAGAACTGTTGCCTGATCAGATCAGCGCTGTGGAGACAGCATTCAGAGAAAAATCAGAACTTAAAATGGATTCCAGGAAAAGACACAGCATCATCAAAATATGAAGCAAATCATCTACCAAAGTTCACTTGGGCTGCCAATTCTTGTGTTTACTCCCGAGAAACTTCCAAGTGTCATGCAAGGTCTACGTGAGTAGAAAGCCCATCTGAGTTCCCACTGAACTAGTCCCAGTCACGACAGAGAAGAAATGACTGAGCAACTCACTGATCATTTTGGCCAGCTTTCTCTTTAGTAATTTAAACTCTACAAAATACACGGACATCAAAATATTCACGTCCAGGTCACCAGAAAACACTCCTATTCCAACTACTTGCCATCACTGTTGAAGCAACAGACTTCATCAAAATATCCAGTATCTTTAAGAGGCAAAGTTCAGAAGTTAATATTAAGAGCTCCATAGCCTATTAACAGCTTGCACCGACACTTTTCTTGAAAGTACCATCTTGCTTACACAAAACCCATGACATTAAGGTAACTTTACTACACTTCGACACATGAGCACACGATTTAGGAATTTTCAGAATTAAGCCTCTCTCTGATGTTTTCCTCAGTGTACCTTCCACATTCAACAAGGGATCAGGGAGCCTACAGGTCTATCTCCTTCAGGCTGTCGTAAAAGTGACAGAATGACACTGAAGAACTAAACTAAGCTGGTGACACTTACTCTTTATGAAGTTTTGCAATAGCAGTGAAGACTATTGTCTAATAAAGCAGTAAAAACAAAATTTGTTTTTAATTGCATCTTTTCAGCATTTTTCTTCAAAATTTTGAAGAGTCAAAGCAAAGAACATCAGGTAAGTTAGGCACTTTAGCAGGGATTTGTCCCAGACACTGCTCTCTACTACAGAGGCAGAAATTCATATGTCTATGTATCACACATCTTAAGTAGCTGTACCTTCTCTGCCTCTTCAAAATGTGGGGACAATTTTTTTCCCCAGGACAGACAGAAACAAGAAAAAAAAAATTAGGACACAGCTAACTTCAAAAGTGTTTGTTGACAAAACTGGAAAGCTGATGTTGCAGCACAATTTGCTGAGTTAAGAATGCCTTGGACAACTACTTGTCCTGACTTAACCTGCCTTCCTCTTCTGCCCTAAAACACCTGTGATGCTTCAAAAATATCAGAAACAACATAGAAGATATGAGACATGAACATTGCCTCGGTCTAATTAACTGGTCCTTCTCAGAGTGCTGCAGAGCAGCTACTTTTCTAGCCTTATGATTAAATTTTGTCCAATTCAGGCACACAAGCTTTCTGTCAAGATGTGTCTAAAAAGTTTCCCAGTCTCGGCAAGTTTAAGCCATCTGGGAGCACAAAACGACAGACCCTTTGGCAATGCAGTCCTGAGATGTTACAAGCAGAGAACAGTAGCTTAATTGGCAACTTAAACCTCCAAACCAGAGCCCAAGTGTATTATCCATGTGCTAAGTTTGAGAACATCAACACAGAGTAAATGAAGTATACTCTAAACCCTGTGCAGCACGTATGACATACAAGGTAATTTACTTTATTCCTGCTCACGTCTTATAATTAATCCTACAAGACGGATTACATTCCACAGAATTTTATTTCCCAAAAACAACCCCTGAGTAAATACCAACTTACCAGGATTCTTTTACGATCCTTTTCTGATAAAAATTTCACTGGTGGATATTTCTGGGTGAAACTACAGAACATTTCAAAACAAAGAAGAAAAACTATGTAAGTTTCAGCCTTGCTTCTTCTTGCACATATCTGTCTTTGACATATGAAGAACTGCTCTGACAACCTCCCATTCTTAAAGTTCTGCTACAGGTATGTTTAGTCCTTTTTTCTAAGGAAGGATCTGGGCCAACATGAGAAAATGCCTATGCTTTGTAAAAGCACTGAAATATCAAAATTGATCTGCAAAAAGTGCTTTTAAAATTTCTGCTTAACTGATTTTCTAGAGTGAATCACTTGACTTCTTTTGAGAGCAGAACTGGTGCCAGGCATGACATCACAAGAGAATAAAACACGAGCAGCGATTGGACTGTTTTGTTTTTAAAGTTTTAAAAAGCAAACAACCTTCTTAAAAGTTCTGGAAAAGAAAGCAAGTTGTTTTGACTTACCGCATGGACTTCAAACATTTCTCCTTAAAGTTTCAATGTGAAGTTTACAATATAAATTTTTAATTCTCCTTAAAGTTTCACAATCATTGTAAAGTTTACAATCAGAATGTTGAAGAAACTCTTTTTAAGATACTTCAGAGAGCTTATTCAGTATGAAAGCTAATCCTAATTTTCTTCTCAGAAATTGCTAGACTGCCATTGTTTTGATGGTCTTCAAGCTACTTTAATTTTTTTGCACCTTCTTCTTTACAGGAACTTAATCAAAATGAAAACATCCTCAAATAAAACTATGTGACATACGAATCTTAGGTGCTCTCTCAAGCTTAAAATTGATGCTCAGAACCTTAGATGATTTCATGGACATCGAATTATTTCACTTCTTTCTCCCCCCACTGGCATGCTTTCTGCATACTGGCATGCTTTCTGCATACAGCAACAAACTCCTCCAAAGGAAGGTGTGAAAAAAGGTGTGAATTTTATTTATTTCTTTCAGTAATTACCATTGTAGTCTTGGCAATATTTTAATAGCTCAGGTGTTAACTAAATAGCAGTGTGACACTAGATAGAAATCGAACTAGCTTACTCTTCTCCTCCAGCAAGTCCACATGCTAGATATGCAATTGGATGTAGCATGCAGGAGGTATATATGCCAAGACTTCACACTGAGATTACATTTTCATCTACTCACAGATAGACTCTGACTGAACTGACCCTACACCTCTGATCTTGAAGCACCTCCTCTGCTTCTAACCTGCAGTACTGGCTCAACAAGAATTCTTCAGAGGCAAAGCACAGATGCTTCTGTACTTGTGCCAACTTCTCATCCCACAGTGAAAGCCATTTTCAGTTTCCTGGATAGGGGAAATACGGCAGTGGAATCTTCCAATGTTACCCATACAGGAAGACTGAAATAGGAAGCTACCTACACTTGCCTTATTATCACCACATGGGTCACTAACGGTAATCCTATTTCTTTGATTTAAGCTGAGAAACAATGAGAAACAGCTGTGCATAAGTAAATGTAGTCATGTAAAACACAGCATTCCTGTGAAAAAAAGGCAAATCCACCAGGAATTTAAAAAAAAAAAAGTGAAGTGCCAAATAATTTAATGCAAGGTAAAAGTCTGTCTCCTCCATTTTTAAGACCACTATTTTAAGGTCACATTAATCCAGCATGGAGTAATACTGCTGCCAAAGAGACCTCCCAACCATTTTTGCTTCTTCCATTACACCAGTACCAGCTTAGAGGCAGCGGGCAGGAGTCTGGAACTGATGCAGCTGAATGTTCATCTTTTGGCAACAATGTCAAGTTTATCTTGACCTAATGCTTGCTTTGATGACTACTTGGTAACGCTTTTGCTGTGCAAATTATTAATAAAAACTTTCCAACTTTAGCTTCAGTTAAACAATCTGTTGTCATGAGACAAGCATTAAGGAATTCTTGCCTTTCCTGCTTCCCAAAAGCATGATGATGGCTTGCTTTCAGGTTTTATCAGCTTATGAGCTAAAAAAACATTGACACTAGAGAATAAGCTTTGCAAGCAGGATCAGCCTTCAGGCATCTGACAGTGAGTAGTTATTTACTGTCACTTTACATAGATAGATACACAGATTTATACACAGATAGATATATATACACATAGATATAAAATTAAAAAATTATTAATTGCAACAACCTACATGCAGTTGAGCCAGCAGAGATAAATGGCTACACTATTTGAAAAACCCAACAACAAGAGCCAATATTTTGTTACGGGCCGTAAGAGCCCATAAGCCCACATTTTGTGAAAGTATAATTCCCAGATTGGCTCATACAGAGGTAAAAAACCATTTTGATTCTTTCTCCTCATTGCTAGACATTTGAAACAAGACTCATCAATACACTGCAAACACTACTAAAGAAAAGAGCATTTAGATGGCTCCTGGAAGAAGTTTTAACTTAATGGTTCCACCCAATAACTCATTGCTCATTTGAAAAAAAAATAACAACTATAAAAAAAAAAAGAGCCAATCAGGATACCCTCCCACAAATGTCCTCTGTGAATGGCAGAAGGAAATACCTGAATTGCCCACAACTGAAGCCAAAGATATACTGGACTATCAACAAAGATTAAATAAGTCAATTGAACAGAGGCAGGACATAAAACATTTCATCTGAATATAAAATCTTTACTCTATAATTTGACCATTATAATTGGTATGGTAGTATCATATGCAACTACTACAGGTGCCAGTCTGCAATTTGTTTCATGTTGCCAATACATCCCCTAGTTCGATCCATGAAGTTCATGGTTATATCAAGAGATGTGCAATCAGATCAGTATTCTCACTGAAATAAATTGCATGTGGCAGATCACTGAACCTTCATATCAATTGTAAAAAAAACAGAACTGAAAATGTTTTTTTCTTTTCTCTTTTTCTGTTTTGTTTGTTTGGTTGGTTTGGTGGGTTTCTTTTTTACAGCACAGGAGGGGTGGGAGGAGGAAGGGTAACTGCTCACTGGCAAGACAAAACTCAAAACACCAAAACACTGTGGGTGTTGAGCATACCTCTGGCCAAGAGCAACGGGATTCTGGCCCCCTCTCCAGAGGAACAGCACACAACCATCAGTATGCCATACATAACCATCCAAGTTTACTGGTACTGCTTGGATAAGACCAGCCTTGGCCCTTTGTAACGCAGCATTCTCAACTAGCTGTTTGCTTGGGACATCAACAGTGCCACCTGTGAAACAGTATCACTGTCAAAAGCAGCAGTATCCTTGTCAGAGCTGACAATTCCCACCCATACTCCAGACCTTATTTTGTGATGAAAAGCATCTGCCCGTGAGAGCACTCAGATGGGAGAACTCATCTGGCGGAAAGGCAACCAGGCTGGGGAGTAAGGGAGTTATTTGCAAAGACAGACTGAAATGACTGGTTTCCCCATCCAGCTTACTATCAGCACTCAACTGGTTCTACTGGTGTAAAAGTGAGGAAATGATGTTGCAGGGTGGACTCAAGCAGGCAGGGAGAAATGGATCAGGCTTGCAATTTTTTTTTTTTTTTAACAACTATGTCAATTTAAGGTGCTTGTGGAACTACAGCACGTATTTAATATCCACAGCTCATCAAAAAGCTTGTCTGCTTTTCCTCAATCACATCATCCGGTTTAATCCAAGATACCACATTCCCTTAAAAATCCTGAGAGAAGCGAGTCAGTCAGGCTCATCCAAAGCACATGCCCAGACTAAGATTCACAAGCAAATCACTGTACGTTAGCTGAACCATGGTAACTGATCACAAGTATGGGAAATGTGAGGTAAAACATATTTTCAGTCTCTTGCAGTTGAAACCAATATGTTTTAGCACACACCTGGGTTGGCCTCACTAAACCATGGTAATCCGTTCCAACATCTGGACTCAAACCAGCAAATTCCTCCACAGGATTTGAACTTTACAAAAATCTAGCACTCCCAGTTTACTTTAGTGGGATTAATCAACCTGAATATCTTAAGCATCAATGTCTTCCAGCATTCAAGGCCCCATCCTCACTTAGATATGATAAAAATCCAAAGGTATGAGGGTATATGCAAAACATTTATCTGAAGCCTACAACTACAGAATTGATCGCTATAGAACAGAAACTGTGCTTTTTAACTGCTTCCCAAATTTAGCAAAAAAACCATACCTTTTTTCTAGATCTTTGATTTTCTCCCTTAGAGGTGCAACAGCCTAAAATAAAGGAATAATATTTAATCTTTGAAGAATAGAACAAGATTCACATCACAATACATGCATATAGGAAGTTACGTTAGAGCAAAAATTATGGCAGTCTCCTATGAAGAGCTTCACTGAGACAGTCCAAGAAACTTGCATCTTAAAGCATCCTTTATGTCAAAAAATCTTGAACCTTTTTCACCAAAAATCAAATCACCTAGTACTGTGTGAAATCCTTTAACTCACCACTGAAAACAAAACACCTCAAGGCTATGAGTACCACAGCCTTGTTGATAGGAACATCCAATGTTATGATTCCTATTTGGCAAAGTGAAGCCACAAGTGACTTGTCTGAGGTTGTCAAAGGCAATTTATATTGAGCAACAGCACAACAGGACAGTCAGTAATACCTCAACTATTTAAATGGACAGCAGATACACATACTTAAGAGGACACAGAGGCATTAGCTCCAGTGCAAAGGCTATAATTCTCTCAGAACATAGTATGCGAATTTAAAGAAACATCATCTTTAAAAATCTAAGATACATTTTACAACACAATTTGAGGGTATATCTAGGCTTTTAAAAAACATTAAAAAGAAATTTGTTAGAAAATATACTTGACCTACCAAGACTTCTGTTTGCATTTTCACTGCTTTGAAAGAGAGAATCACTTAAGTTGGCATCAGCTTCAGGTTCTTTATCACAGGACCCAAATTTCTAACAGTCCTGCCAAATTTCGACAAGTCCCTGCACTCTTGTTTTTAAGTTACTAAAACCCTGTCACAAAATTTACCATCTAGGACCATACATAAGTTGAAAGCTATCAGAGGGTTATCACTTGAAATGGTACTATATAGCAACACATCATTAATTTGTTTTGTACAAGTATTGCTGGTTAGAACTAGACAATTCAGGAACTTAATGAACTGAAATAAGCTGCATATTCATCTTAAGAGGAAATACAGTATTGTCATTTATATTCATTAAACATCTAGCTCTGTGGAGCAGCAAATAGTTCTTGAAACAGTTATACTTATTCTGATGGTTCAAGATACTTGTGTAACTAAACCTTTAAAAACAATATCCAGAAATGCTTAACTTCTCAGACCTTAACTCCAATCCATGCATTGAATTTCAAGCATTTGACCATTCTTAAACTGGGATTTTCAGAATGCTTGTTGCAATGTTTACCAGAATTTAAAAAAAAAAAGAAAAAAAAAAAAAAAGAGAGAGGAATGCAAAAGACATAAAATAAGAACACAATCTTTCCATTGATTTTAAACAATTTCAGTGGGCTTCTCCCTGCTTCCAGAGGAATCATTGCTATATAAACCTGTTGGAACACAAAACAGTAGGCAGATCAGACTACACTAGTACCGTCACACACACCCACACAAGGGGTAGGGGGTATTGACCTCAAAGACTTTTGTATCTATTAAATTCTTCGTTTCATTGTTATTAGACTGGAAGTCTAAAAACATCTGGAGAAAGATCTGTTGCACAAATTCTTAATATTTCACAACAAACTGAGGTTGAAATGGAAATCCAGAGGTATTCGTACAGAAGTTCACAATCACCGGCGTGTTCAATACCCATGACTACTCCAGAAACTGCCAGGACTTGTGCTTAAAGCATTGGTACTGCACACCATCCCTGACCACAAACACCACTACCTTTGTTCATTGGTTAAGAACAAAGCAAAGCATTTTTGGGAGGTTTCAAATTTCTAATAAAACTTATCTATACTTAACATTTTGTAAGGGCGACAGAGGAAAGAATTTGTGTATATCCTTCATTCAGTAACAAAAAACAGTTCTCAGGAGGACTCTACCAGTCTCTGCAGCAACTGAGACAGTAGAGCTATTACTTTCAAGAAAGGTTTAAAGGAACAAAAAAAAAAGATGAGAGTCACAGATCTATGTTAGAAACTCCACTATAGTGAAGAACAGTTCAAAAACTTACGTACAGACACAAATTCAATGCTTTGAATGGTTTTAGTGGAACAGAGAGTAATGAGATAGAACTAAATACACCCTTTCAATATGAAATGAGTGAAATGGAGCCCTCAAAACAAAACAGACTACAACTGTTAGCAAACTAACCTCCTCTATTTTACTTTCCACCTTCTGATCCCCATTTTCTTGAAGAGACCTGCTGGCAAGAAAAGAAAAAACATAATCCATACCTAAGCAACAGTTGCTCCACTGCACCTGCATCATGCTTTTCCTGTTAAAACAGCATCTTTAAAGCATCCCAAGTTAGCATTATTTCAAAGACATACTCAGAGCAAATGAAAGCGGATGGTCCAATTCCCATTGAAATCAACTAGTCTTGTCACCAAGTTTGGCAGAAACTGAACCAAGCCCACAGGAAAGAGTAATAACAATAAAGATGATCTTCATTTTACAGAGAAAATTAACTTCATAGTAGAAAAGTGTCTAATCACTGCACTAAGGTAGGGTCAGCAGAAATGTTTCTGAGTGTAGCTTTACTACGCAAATGCCTAAGATGTCTTTTTGAGGGTCTCTGTTTACTGTATGCCACAAGTATTTTAACAAAATATTATCCCTTACTGCCACAACTGTAACTGTAATTTCAATCAAAAAGAGAGAAGGGCAAACGTGTTTAGCTTTGACTTTGAACTTTTACAAAATCAAGGAAAAAAACCCTATACCAAAACTTGTCTTAAGTGACCATTCGATGGGCAATACTGACTTAGCACACAAATGCTACTTGTTTGAAGTGAAGCCAAGCTTATACACAGAAGGATGAAGGATGTCAAGGTAACTTGTGAAAACAAAGTACTGTCTAAGAAGTTGGTGTCTTGGACAAATCTGTGTGTTCTTATTTAGCATCTAATTGTGTAAAGTATCTCAATTAGTTGTGTTCATTCTTTGAGTAAACTTCTACAAGTGTAGAACATGTATTTTTAAATTTTACCCTCTTGCTTCTAGTCTATGTGATTTTCCTTAAGTTTGCATAATTCTTTTTTTTTCAGGAATTATTTATCTTACAGTATTAAGTTTTTGCATACTACAGGATTCATGGGTATCCAACATAAAATGGAGTTCTTTCAAATAAAACAGACCTCCTTTACTTGGGACCTGAAGTCATTACACCTAGGGAAACAGAAGATCCTTTGTTAAGCAGATATACATATGCCACACTGTTAGAAATTACAGCAATGATTCACTTCATATCCCTCTGTAAAACTCTATTACTAAAAAATCAGTTCAGTCTATTACTGAGGCAAAAATCTGATTGACCAGATTTGTTTTGTCTTATCAGTAAAGAGTGCAGTAAACTCCTAGACTAAGACACACAGACCCTGAACCATCTTTTCAAAACAAATTGTAATTTATTGCAATAGTAGCAAAAAAACCTCCTCGAGTTAAGATAGTATGAATTTACTACAAGAAAGCAATAATTAAGTAATTCCTGTGAATTTTTCAAATGTTTTCGCAAATAACAGAAATCTACAAAAAGCTACGTGAACAATCTGTGGAATACACAGCCTTTCCTCTCTGCTAAACGAGCAAGGAAAACTAGGAAAACCTCTCAGAATATAAAAAGGTTCCCTCAGAAATGGCTTCTACTATTGTTTATTCACAAATCCTGGAACTTAAGGACTGGCACTCTGCAGTTTAGTTTTTAATGAGCTTTTCCTCCTAACAAAGACAATCTTATTGGCTGAAGACTAACATCAGACGTTCAGAAATAAAGTTTTCCCACTCGATAGCTCTCTAACGGACACCTCAAATAAGAAGTCAGATGCAGCTAATGGTAGAATTTGTAGGGACAGCTTATCAGGGTATGAACACACTGGATCCCACACCCACCTGCTCTCCTCAAACCCCTCTCTGAGGTTCTTGTCCCTCCTTTGGAAATGCTCAGCTGCTCATGTAACAACCGCTAAGCTGCCATAGTTTGCTGGTCACGATAACATGGTAATCTAAACGACATTTCCATCTGCAAGCCACAGCAGCTCAGCAGCTGTTTGCCTACTGTAGCAGCTGTTTGAACACTTTGTAGCAAGGGTGGGAAACTCCAAGAGAAGTAAAGTGGACAGCTTGGGACAGGAACAGATCCCAGGGTAAGCTGTCCTGGGTGAATCAGAGCCCACAGAAAATTCGCTGATTTTCTCATTTTGCCTCAAACTTCCTTCTTTTCCAGTTGTGTCTTCCTGGTGAATTTTCCCAGAGGACAAACACTCACGTGCAAGCAGAAATGCTGTGAAAATCTGCATGTTTTGCATGCGTATGTTATGCCTTCCTATTTCTACGGGCAAAAATTCTGGGGGACAGTGCAGGATTTTTTTGCTTTTCAGCAAACCATCAGATTCTCTCCCAATTAATTGTGGAGGAGGAAAAACCCTCAAAACCACATTTCTAGTTCTAAGTACAGAAACATAATTATGGCAAGCAGTGGAAGATCTGCTGCTCTTCAACGTTTAAGCCTGTATTATTACTGAGATATGGTCAGATCTGTGCTGAGGAAAAGCAGAAACCAAGACTATGTGCCCAGCTATGTCAATCAACTTGCCTGAAAACACCTCCAAAACCATAAGATGAATTTGTGTAAAGAAAGGCAGATGCTGAAGCGAGAGCAAGATCCTGAGCAAGATTTGCAGCAGACACACAACCCTTTTTGAGACTGAACACCTTGTATTTAAAAAATGGTATCAGCTGCTTAGCAACCATCCAAACAACAGTGTGAGCTGCTGTTCTATTTTCTCCCTCTTGATATACAGTGATATATGTTGATGGGAAAGATAAGTTATTTTATTTCAGATAAGGATATTCAATACAAAAATTATATACATTACCTCATATTGACAAAGTTTCCCCATACAGCTGGAAAATAAGAAAAAAGAGAACATTACAGTGTCATATAACAGTACATCAGGTCATTTTTTTCTATTAACGTCAGAAGGAATTTAAAACAATATTAAGTATGTTAATCACAAATTATCTAAATAGTTACATGCATGATATATATACACACACCAAGTGACTAGAACACAGTTTAAGAGTATGGGAGGAATTCTGATGAAATTCCATGAGACTATAAAAAAGTAGGAATTTAATAATTAAGTAATTTAATAAAAAAGGACTAGATTATTCCAGTGCACATCTGGAATTACCTGACCAGTAAATCAGCAGATATACTTATGTGATCATCATCCCCACACTACATTACATAAACAAAATGTACAAGAATTCTCGGAACTATAATTTGACACCACACACAGATTAAACAAACCAGAGCTCTGGACTTGTTTATTAGGAATATTGAAAAAAATGGCAAGAGCAAGAAAGGAGTCCTATAGACCTGAAACACATGAACTGGAAACTGCAGACTGACAAGAGTAAAAAGACTGGCCACTACAGGTGATAGCTGAACCAGTCCAAAGAGGTGCCACAACAGTTCTGCATTAAAGGTAGCAAGCGCCTGTATGCATGTGAATTCTCTCTCTAAATATGTATATATTGTGATGCAGACACAAAAGGTACCTAAGCAATGTAACCAAATGCCCCACTAAGCAAACAAAGATCATGTATTACACTCTTTGTATGGAAAAAAGTTTTAGGGAAGACAAACAGCAGTACAAAATAGCACAGCAAACATGTATCAGCTGTTTCTCTGTGTTCACAAAGATTCATCTGCCCAATTTATTTTCTACTAGAAAAAAAAGTCTTCTGAAACTGTTCAGGGTTTAAGTGATTACACGAAGACTACACTGATTTTCCTCTTAACCTTCAACTAGGACACAGAATGTAGTTTAAAGTGAAAAAATGACATGCCATAAACCAGGCTACACTAGAGAGTTGACAACTTCATATCGTCAAGACAAACAAGGTTAATACGGAACAGTTACGTAAGGGACTCTGCAACAATAAGCAGCACAGGAAATACGCCCAGAATATCACCAGAAAATCATTCTGCAATTGCTCTTTAAGAGACAAGGCTCAACCTAAGGATCCAAATTACACTGGGTCTTAAGAAGGAGTAGCAGCCTATATGCAGTATTAACATACGCATAGAAAGTGTCCTCAGGTTTTGGAAGCTGCGCTTCAGGTCTCAAGTAGCAGCTAATGAACTATTTTGCCTAGGTTCAGGCTTTGCACATACATTTTCATGATTATTACTTATTGATCTCAAGCAGATGATGAGGTGTTACAGAAACAAGAAAACAATAAACGCTGCTACAGTCACAGGCACCTTCCAGGCAAGAGAAGAAAGAAAACATACCCAGGAAAGAGGAGCGGGGAGGACACGAGTGAGGATGCAGTAATGCAGTCGCTGTTCCATCCTCTAGGGGATGGCAAAGCTACTGAACTGTTTTTAACTACTGAGTGCAGCTGAGTAATTCAAAGAGTAACTCAAATGAATTCATGACAGGCTATCAAACAAACTGTAGGAGGGCACTGTGATATCTGTGGTGGTATCATAAAACCTCTGTCATCTTCTGGAGAAAAGATAAGGAAGCTTTATATTAGAACAGATGATCAATAATATCCAACTGAATTTAAAAAACACTGTGGATTTCATATTAATTAGATAAAGTAAATTCTCTGTGGGAAAAGGAATACAGTGTTGAGCACTACGTTAAATTCAAGTTATTTACCTCTGGCTAGGATTTTAGAATTATTTATAACAACATTAACGGAAAAACTCCTTTTTTTTTTTGCAGTGACTGATGACCATCTGGCAACTACAGGTACAGAATTCTCAAGTAATACATTACTCAGCTATACTTACAATCAGTTATTTTTCTGGGCTACAGAAAACCATACAGATAACGTAACGTATTGTTTACGCAGTGGCAGGAAACATCTGGGCTTAGTTGGTGAAGAAGGAATTGATGAAAAAACGAGTCGCCAGCTGCATCACAAATATCACCCTGTCAGTTCTGTTGCAAAGACAGTGCAGCTACATTGCATACAAGGAACTGGCTTCCTAAAGAAAACATGTTAATTGTGTGTGCTCAGTGTCCAAACCAGGGAAGGGGAGCTCAGAAAGGCATTTGTGTACTTTAAGAAACACTACACTTGATATCCCAGTTGTGTAGGAGTAAATGACCTTCCATTAAACTTCTAGGAAGCGTATTTTTGTACCATTGCAAAAAAGAGTGAAGCTGCAAAATGAACCACATAGGCAATACCATATGGAGGATCTGAAGAACCCTGAAGGCTCTAACACGCAGAGAGATGCCACAGAAACTCGCTTGAACATACTGCCCTCACAAAGGATTCCGAATGCACAATTCTAAGGAGGATCTCTTCGGCTACTGCATGTTCACATACAGCTTACGTCAAGGCTGAAGGGATCAGAGGTAAAGTTTTGCACTATAGTGGAATTAAGGTTTTGTTGGGTTTTCTCTAAATGCACATCACAATTGTTTATATAATGGGCTTACACAGCTGCAGAACCAGCAGTATGACTATGGCTTACAGAGGATTTCCTTGACTTGTCACTTCCTTGCCCTAAAGGTTATGCCAAGGCCAGTTTGACACTCAGGCCAAGAATGACGGAAACCTATTAAGGCAAGTGGGCCCAAATCCACAAGCAGAATGATGCAGAATTACAAGCCTAAATCCAAGATGAAAACCCTCACAGGCACCATAAAACCCCTTGACAGGCCCACCAAGTTGAGGCACCAAGAGCTGCAGACATGTGGATGGTTAAAAAAGCTTCCATACCAGCAAAGTCATGAATCAGGTGGTACACATAAATCCAGTTTTCAAAGGCATCAGACTCCTAATGGACCCAATTTGAGTAAACACTAACATAACTTTTACCTCACTGTAAAAGCCAGTTTTAAAAAAATGTAATTAAAAAAAATTCCAACTCTAAAGCCAAATCTTTTAAGCCAAGAGGTATTCATCCAGGATAATAGTCTTATGCCAATTTTCAAACCTTAGAGATTTAACACCCTCACCCCCCACAGCCACACACAGTACGTACTCTGTGAAGCACTTCCTATTCATCCAACTACAGAGCATTCACGGACAGAGAGCCTTCCTGCCATCTACTGAAGCTCTGTGTAAGGGAAGAATTCAGGATTAATTGGACTAGACAGACAGAAGCATGACTTGTAACCAAACAATTAAGACGCTCACCTACAAGAGAGAAGAAATAGAGGTTCTGCTTATTCTCTCAAAGACTATTTGTAAACCTCATTCAATGACTGATTAAGGTAATAATAAATTGCCATTAGGGAAGAGATCAGAATATCTGGATGGTTCTGAGACACACGAAAGCCTGGTTTAATGGCCTGTACGAGAAAGGTGTAGTCCTTCTTTGACTCTGTCTGTTCTGGGATGTTTTTTCCCCTCTGCAGGCCTTTCTGTAAAGTAATGAGAACAATCATTTTTATTGTAGTGTTTTTGCAAGGATTAATTGCAAGCACCGTGAAGATTAAAAATACATCAGAGGCACTAGTCACTCCCACGGACACTACACTTTAAAGTGACAGCTTCCAGAGAGGAAGAATGACATGCCTTGGATGAAGCGATAAAGAACTGTACTTTTAGAAAAGAGAAGATTTGTTTCTTAAAGCCTTAGTCACAGTATTGTTATTAAGGAGGCATTTACATTTTGCCAACTAAACATTAATCACTCACGGTTTTCAGAAAACCCCAATCCTCTTTTTTGTTTGGTTTGTTGTTTGTTTTTCCCCACCTCCAGCCTCTGAGAGATAAAGCTATAATTATTTGGCAAGCATAGCCTTATGGTAAAATTGTTGTAGATTTCCAAGACTTTTCAAAACTACCTTAAATAAAAGCCAATCAGTCACAGACAAGTAAAGAATGGTTTCCTTTCTACTGAATACATTTATATTCCTGGAAATTTCAAGGTTGGTTTAGTTTTTCTAGAGAAGACCCTTTCTGAAATTATGCCAGATGCAGAGCAGTATGATGACTGGGCTACTTTCAGCAAAGGAATATTCCAAGAGCTATCCTTTGGATACAAGCCAACCCTGCCTGCATGAAGTAAAAAAGAAAACAAACACAAAATCTGTTAAGTCACACTCAAAAAAGTACAACAGAAATCCCAAGCACTTTGCTGTTGAGCATCCACTATTAAATGGACACTTCCCTATCTATCATAGTCAGACTTTTAGCTCTGACCAGCTGAACTTCATAGCAGGCGAAAGTTATTCTTCTAGATCCTCAGAACATAGGAACAGGATGTATGTTTTCACCTGAATGTCCTTTGAGTATGTCATCTGCAATAATACTTACTGCATAGGTTTCTATAAAACACAGACTACTACTCTGAGAACCTTGCATGCCTTCATTAACTCATCCACAACAGGCTGGGGAACCAGAAAAATAACACTATCACAATCTGAAGGTGGGAAAAAACAGAATCTCAAAGGAAGGCTGTGCCTTTACCCCAAGATGATCCCTCTTCTCTGTATCTCTTTAAAATGACATTTAAATCAAGTCATAGACTATCACAAGGCACCAATGGTAATAAACACTCATAATCTGAAATTATAGTGACAATATTAGTTTCAGCATCACATACATTTTAAAACACATGTTTTAAAAAGCAAGACCATGATGCCCATAGAGATCCAACTGTACCAAAAACGGATGCAATCTCTTTTAAAACCATCTTCTTTCCCAATGGCTTTGTTGTTTGCATTTTCAAGACACTCAGTTAAAAAAAACTTTTACACAAACTTTTGTCTAAGTAGACTTGGCTGAAAACACAGGATTTTTTCCCTGTATCGCCCTCCTTACAACCTCTGCTCCTCAGAATAAAAAGAGTACAAGATGATGTTCGTTGCAAACATATAAAAACATATCTATATATTTTATATAGATATGTTTTGTACTTTATATATATAATATATATAAACAGAAACAGCATGCAGGAGCAATATGAATTGATATACAGTCGTAACCTGAATTTCA